TTCCATTGTTGTGCGGACTATGGACGGGCATTCTCGGCTTTGCAGTCAGACTGCTGGGCCGCCTTGCCAGGTCTTGGCCACCGGCGTCGGCTCCCATACCGATATGCCACGTTGGTGTTGACGATGTTGTGGTGGGCGAATCGGGTATTTCCGGTACCGTGCGACGTCGCATGTTTCTTTGTTCTAAAACTTGAAGTTTCGTACCAGCCCACCCCGTTATTTTCGATCTCGAGTGAGATCTCGTGTAGATGGGAGGTCTGGCTTGGATCGCCAGGGTCTAGTCTGGCGGGGTAACATGGCGCATTGTTACCCCCACCTCACTCACAACGCGCGCCGGCGGAGGTTGACATAACTCCATTCCATCACCTTCCTCTCCGATACAGCTCTCTCAACTTGGAAAGCTGCCGACGAACTGACGCCTTTCTCCTTTTCGGCGTCGCTATCCGAGAGTTCTTGGGAAGAGGACGGCCTACAGGATCCGTTCATATCCTTGACCAGCTTTCGCGTCGGTGACCGCTCTCCGGTCCAAGATGGTCGATTTTCGACAACGGCCAGCCCATGATTTCGGCTGGCGTTCCACAGGAAGTAGACCCTCTCTCCAGGTTGCCTTCCAGGTTGCTCATTTATCGAGACAGTCGGACTCAAGAGGGACAGATAAGCCGACCGGTCTAGGAGAGGATCGGAGGCAGTGTGTCGGTTTCGAAAGTGCTTCGGCATGGTGTATTGTCGAAATAGAGACGGGCGGGATGAGATTTAGTTGATGAAATGTTGTCGGAATTCTGGGAGCTCAGTGTCGAGTTGGGCGGGGGCTTTGTGGGCACCGAGGTCTCGTGAACAGACATCATCAACCCCTTTGAAGGGATGAACCGAGTATAAAGGGTTAGGGTTTAATATGGGCTTGACAACTCGGATAGAGGACGTGGGGGGCTGCTCCGGGAGCAGATTGGTTGGCCCCTCGGAAGGCAACAACAGCGCTCAGCGAATGAAACGACTATAAGCCATACAATCCGAGCTTCCATGTCTGCAAACATCAACGTTTGAGGCAAGAGGCGCTTTGTGTTTGGAGCCCATTCGGCCCGATCCGGCTGCCTCGTTTCATCTTTCATGTTTTCCAGCTCACACCGCCGCCTGTTTTGTTGCCTGCCTTCCCAATAGCAGCTTGTTTCGTGGCGAAGGGGGGGAATAAGCGGTGTCAGCCTCCGCACGGAAAGACGACCTCAGCTAGGTGGTTATCCGTAAATCCGTGCAGAAGGCCTCGCCAAAACACTGCCAAGTTCCTAACTGGCATATCAACATCTTTCGACAGTCATGTGAATTCTAGGTTGAAGCGCTATCGAACGACGCTCGGTCGCAAAGCACTCAGAGTCGGATAACGTGGGCGCAATGATCTTGTAGGTAGGTATATGTACTGCTGCTCGGTGCTACAAACATGTTGCTCCGTTCGTAAGAACGTCCATGCTCTTTCTGTTCAAATCGCCATTCTAACTTTTTTTGCCTTATTCCTTGACGAGCTTCGTAACCGTATCCTCGATCTGCTTGTCCGAAAGACCTGTGAAAGGTAATTAGCCTTTTCTCCTTACTAACCGAGTCTGCCAAAGTTTACCTTCTAATGACTCGCTCGTCTCCTTTCCGAACTCTATCGAAGTCGTCAGCAAGTAGGGTTTATGACCGCACCGGCGACCGAACTCGACGGACCGTATCTCGCGTAGATTTTGGGGGAGGGTGCCCTGAAGCTTCGCGCAGCATGATGGGGATCGAGGGGGTTGTTCTTCTTCATGATGGGATACGCTCGAGAGAGGAAAGACCTTCAGGGTAGGCAACAGTAGTCAGCATGGCTGCCAAAGGCTGTATTTGATGCTGAGCGGCACAACGCACCTCGTGGCAGAGCTATGCTCGCCGGTTTGGCAAAAGAGGAACCGAACCTCCTTCAGACCCTTGCTGAAAGCATATCTGGCCGACATTTTGGCTGGTGTGTCAACGGACTCGCCGGCGAGGAACTCGTGCTCAATTGGTCGTCGACGTCGTGAACCCGAAGCAAGCGGGAAGCGGGCTTTCCTGGCTGCGCTGCAATGAGGCTGATGGAAATGGGGCTTGACAGTGTGAGGCTGCAATCTGTTTTGGCGATTGACCACATTTGTTGCATAAGGCTGGTTATATGCATGATTTACATCAGCATGGATTTCAAAAGTTTTATCCCCGGATTCCCCAACAGACACCAGCGGTGTCCAAGCGTCAATGAATTTGCTGCTATCATCGGACCCTGAAGCGGCGCATCCTTGTCGAAGCAATTGAAGAATTCCCCTCTCCGTGCCTTGACAACCAGGGCGACAGCTTCGAACCCCTCCACTCCTTGTACGCTTCGCATTCCTTGAAGACTCTACCGACCGCGGCTAACAGCGAACTCCCTCCAGTTTTTTTTGTCCGCCAACCCGACAGCGCCCTTGTTCCACGTCCGACGACCGGAGTCCGCCTCGCCCAAATCTCAAGAAAACGAGACCGCCACATCCGCAATCCCACCACGAGCATCACCGACGGCGCGCAACGATCCGCACCGCCGACACCCACGAAAACAAAAACCACACACCACAAAATCACCATGTCTCCCTCGAGCAATTTCTTCCGGGCGGCCCGACCGGCCTTCCGCGCCCGCCAGTTCTTCTTCCGCCCCAAGCAGGGCGCCCGCTTCCAGAGTACCACGGCCGACGCCGGGGCCGAGTCGTGGGCCAAGCGCATGTGGAATAGCCCCGTGGGGTTGAAGACGGTGCATTTCTGGTAAGGAACCAGCCCTTCCCCCTGCCGGCTCTCGATCCCTCCCCCCACCATACACCACACATCATAGCGACGACGACCCACGTACCGGGCAGTACAGACGGCAGGATGACATGGGGAACATGGGGGAACATGGGCCAGATTCGGAAGCAAGTTTGTGTTGTGCCGTTTGTTTGCTAACCACCAGCTCGACAACAGGGCCCCCGTGATGAAGTGGGCGCTCGTGCTGGCAGGCGTGTCCGACTTTGCGCGCCCCGCCGAGAAGCTCTCGCTCACGCAGAACGCGGCGCTGACCTCGACCGGCCTGATCTGGACGCGCTGGTGCCTGATCATCAAGCCCAAGAACTACCTGTACGTTTTACACCCACCCTCTTAACCCCGCCAACCCCTCCCCCCCTTTTCCAGTTGCTGGTCGAGGCTGACCTTGCTGTGTGTGTGTGTGTGTGTGATATGTTTAGCCTGGCCGCGGTCAACTTCTTCCTTGGCGTCGTCGGTGTCGTTCAGTGCACCCGCATCTTGATGTGGCAGCAGTCGCAAAAGGGCCTGCCTGCGAAGGTGGAGGAGGTCAAGGAGGCGGTTGTCAAGTCATAGACGGAGCCTAGGTGGTAAAGGCGGTGTTTGTGGCAGGGGCCGGAGAGACCAAAACGGTTACGCATTGGGTAACTAAGAGCAATCAAGACTCGGCAAGGGGCGCAAAAAATGGTCCAGTCCTGAGACGGGGGACGGGCGGAGATGTTGGGATCGGGACCGGCGAACGGTTGCAGTTGGCGCGCGCTGGTCTCGGGATGTGTACAACAAACGTTAGCCGGGTTTCGGCGTAATCGTGGGTTCAGCCAGCGCAGCGTGCTCTTTGTTTTGCATTGCACTACAGGGCGTGATGGACAGGGTCAAGAGGTCGGGGGTGGTTAAGAGAGACGGCAGCGTATACGGTCACTGGTAGAAATGTCTCAGAGACATGGTCCGAGAGGTGGCTGCAGCAAACTTCATCAGAAGCTAGATGTGCGTTGAACGTTTTCTTGTCAATTGTTGATACCACTGTTAAGTCTATCCCGGTGTCTATACCGCTAGATCATGTCTGTCGCTCGCAAGCAGGCGGCAAAATGGCCAACCGCCCAAACAGCCCACCCAATAGAAAAGGATATCAGCTTACACGCCATACTCGCTACGTCTGTTGCCAGAACCACCCAAAAGAAAAAGAAAAGGAAAGAGAGCAACAAAATCCGAAAGCTTCCGGGAAGGACCCATCCCAAGCCAGCTAAATAGCTCATTCCGCCGCCACTTCATACCCGTTCGCATCCCCATTTCCCGTCCCATTACCATTCACAACTCTATTCCCATTTACGACCCCATTCCCACACCCCTCTGCCCGCCCCCTCTCCACGCGCTGCTTCAACTCCAACGGCACAGCCAGCTCGTCAAAGCTGCCGCGCCGCCCCCAGTTCATGGGCTGCCTCTTGAGGAACGCGCCGACGGCGCCGAGGTACCCTTCGTGGCGCAGGAAATAGGCCTGCTTGGCGCCCTTGGACCAGAACTTGATGGCGTAGCTGAGGGTGTTCATGGTCCGTGGGTGGCCGCGGATGAAGGAGCCCCCAAAGTAGATGTGGGAGAGGCCGTGGATCTGCGACTGCAGGAAGGCGATCTGGCCGATGTTGTTAGATATCGCGTAGAGGAGGGAGACGGAGATGTCGGCGGCGCTGAAGGGGCTGGATTCGTCGTGGGAGAATTCTGGGTGTGGTGGTTCGGAGTGCTCGGAGGGTGACGACGGGGGGTGGTCCAGGTGCTGCTGGTGGTGGTGTTGCTGGTCCTTGTGTCGCTGGCCGCCGCTGTCCTCGGCTTCTTGCTCGGCTTGCCGCTTCTTGCGGAAGACCTTGCCGAAGGAGCTGGCAATGGTGGTGCTCTTGAGCCCTATCTTGCCGTAGTCAGTGCCGTAGATGTCGCCGACGAGCATGTCCACCTTGGCGTTATCACCTTGCGAGGCGAGATCCAGCATCTCGTCGAAAGTGCGCGCCCCCGTGAGCAGGCTGAGCAGGCCCCACAGGGTGCCGCCGCCTAAAGATGTACCACCGACACGCTCGTACTTGCGCGGGCCGTGGACCTTGAGGAAGGAGACGCCCGAGCCGATGTTGACGAGGAGGTAGGGGTAGACGTTCTCCGAGGGCTCGACAAAGTGCATGGGATCCGTCTCGGAGTAAGTGAAGACCTCGCGGGGAATCTCGGTGATGAAGAAGTCGAGCCCAATAATCAAACATTCCATCTCATCCTCCCGCAGCACATCCACCCCGAGCACTTCGCGGATGTTGTCGTAGAACTTGTAAGCCCCTCCCCCTGTCGCCATCACGCACAGGTCGCCGGGGAGGCGCCCGGATGAGCCGCGGCCATTGCTGGCAGCGCCGTTCAGCTCCAGGTGCTTATTCTTGAGGCCTCGCACAAACTCAAGGCAGTCGTCAATGCGGTCCGTCTCGAAGCTGGCAAAGTTGAGCCGTCCTCCTGGCTCGGTCGAGTGCGCTTCGCGGGAGAAGTAGACAAGCTTGGCAAGAGAGCCACCAATCTGCGACGAGTCCGACAGTCAGCCCAGCTCGGCGGCACCACAAAAAAAAGTGAAGGCACAATGACATCATCGCAGCGAAAGGGTAAAAATGGGAACGGAGGAGGAGGCTTCGTACATCAATTGCAATATGGCTGACCACGGCGGTGTGGTTTGGTAGCCGGATGTCCTTTGTCTCGTGACGGCCGGGGGATCCACTGCGGCCATCCGGGGTAGTGGGGGTTGCTGTGTCTTGGTCGACGATGAAGGCGCCCTTGACGTTGATGCGGACTGAACCTGGGTGGCTCAGTGTCTCATCAATCTCGGCCGTGTCAGCGGTGGCAGTCCGTGGCCTGCCGGAGGATAGGAGCGGGCCGGTTCCGTTCTCGAGTTGCTGCTGTCGGTCGTGCTCCCGGGCCTCCTCCGGAAGCGGCCGGCGTGGCGGATCGGCTTGGTAGATGTCGCTCGGCATGATTCAATCGCTATAGGCCGTCGGGAGAGGGCGGTCAAAAAACAGGAAATTCAAGGAGGCCTCATAGGAATATCCATCGGAGTGGATTTTTTCGGCACGGACACGCCGAGTGAAGTGAAGGTTTATAAAACTGGGAATGCTCAGAATTACATTGTAGAACTCATCCCGGTGTTTTCAGACTTGTTCACTGCGACGAAACCGGGCGTAAGTGCAAGGGCACGGCTGGAGCGAGCCGGTTATCGATAAGAAACTGCCCCTTTGCCCGAGGCTGTGTACAAAAAGGGAAGTGGCTTGCCCCGCTGATTGGCTGACGCCTCTCTCCCGCACCTCGGACTCCGGTCAACGTCAGCCGGCAGACACCCGCTGACCAAGACTAAGCCCCCTGGAATTCGAGGCATTAACGGAAAGAAGGGGTGACAACCTCGAGCAGCGAGAAACAAAGGCCAATCAAAGCCGATTTGACTCGAGATTGGTAGCGCATGGCATACTCACTCTCACACTGCCAAGAGTGAAAATCAGAGGAATTGAACAGTTTAAAAACAAGGCTCAGCGGGAAGGAGGAGAGAAGGAGCCTAAGATGTTACCAGAAATGGCTCATTCCTTTACTTACTTTAACGAGCCACGATGAACACGAGGCACAAGTCTTGCACAGCCTGTGAACAACCAAGCTTGTTGTTATTACATTACCAAACCGAGGCAATTAATCGGATGCATAGGTACCCCCTCATGGATGCAACCTACTATTACAGATTACTACTAGGTCGGTAACTAAGATACTTACATATACAGTATATACCTAACCACCCAACATCCAACCCCCCAGCCCCTAGAAAAACCCGCCCGCCGGCACCGCCACAAACACCGCCGTCAACACAGCAGCACAGACAAGCGCAAACACGATGCTCTGCACAAAAATGACATCCTGAATCTGCCGCAGCGCCGGCTCCTCCACCCACACCTCGCGGTCAAACAGCCTGCGGGCGAAGGGCCGCCTCTGGTAACGGACCAGCCACGGCTCATCCTCATATCTATTGGCGGAGCCAAAGCTGTCGAACGAGCGCTTGGTGGTGGTGATGGCGTCCTCGTCGTCGCCGTCCACGTCCGAGGCGAAGAGCTCCCACGGCCGGATGTGCCGGTGGCGCAGGCCGTGGAGCAGGATGCACTGTTGCGGGGTGGGTGGTCAACCTACAAAACACTCTTCTAACAACGGTAGGGAGGGAGGCATTCCCAAACAAAGGGGGAATAAGAAATTCAACGTACCATGCCCTTATAAACCCCCATCAACGTCGCAAACCCGGCCACCCACGCCACCGCCGCCAGGGCACGATACCCCCTCCCCGCCCCGGACAGCGTCAGCACCACCGCCACCACGACCCCAACCAAGACCGCCCCGGACCCCACCCCCCACGCGGTACACAGGCGGGTGGGGTTGGCGTTGCAGATGCTCCAGCGGATGAAGTTGGGGTGCGACAGGTGGCGTAGGGCGGCGTCGGTCTGGCGCGCAACCAGCGCGAACGCCGACGGGTGCGTCGTGTGCGCGAGTGCCTGGAGTGTGGTTTTCTGCTCGACTTCGGAGAGGTTGAGCTGCCGCGGCGCGCCGTCCATGATGTAGGTGGCGATGACCCGGTCGAGTTCCTTGCGGAAGGGTTGGATGGTGACTTTTGGTGGGGGGTGGGTTTTGTTAGTGTTGATGGGTGGTGGGTGGTGGTGGTGGTGGTGGTGGTTGGGTTGGGCGTCTTGGGTGGGTGCCGGCGTGGTGAGAGGTGGGAGAAACTTACATGGATCCTTCACGCCGGCCGCCGCAAACGCCTGGCTGGCGAGGCTCCGGGACCTGTCGGTCGGTGTGACGGGTGTTACGGGGGTGACGGGGGTGACGAGCTCGTCCCGGCTGTCGATGCTCTTCTCAAAGTCGGTGCCCTTGAAGATGGTAGCGCTTCCCTTGGGCGACCTGCGCACCTTTTCGGCCTGGTCCTTTTTGATGCGCATGATGGCCTCGTCCTCCATCGCCTGGGTCCACTCAGGAGCCAGCGAGAGGTCGGCCGTTTTGGCAGCGGCAAAGCGCCGCTCATAGTCGCGGTGCCACAGGAAGAACTGGAGATTCTCTGCTGATCGCTCGACGTAAAGGAGATAGTTCATGAAATCGCGGAGTGTACAAGGCTGTGTTGCTGTCAGTCGTTGGGCCCTAGAAGGAGACTCCGGGCTAACATTAACATACCGGGCAAGTCCCTCCCTCCAGAATCCTGTCGAAACTGAGTGCCGGTGGAATCCCATTTGAACCGCTAGACTCAACTGACTTCAAGGACTTGCTGGAGCCTTGATCATCATGGTTTGAGGTTTGATTGCCGATGGGATCAGGCTTTTCAACATACGCTGGCCGTTTGTGGATGGACTGGAGTAAACCCATGATGGGAGCAGCGGGCGATTATACAACCGGAGCCTAATGGCAGGAGGCGAACAGATAGACACAAGCGGGAGAGATAGAGATAAGACCGCAATAATACAAATACAAATTACAGTGTCGGGGAATCTTAAAGCGGGCTGGGAGCGGCGTTGTGACTGTTGGCGACCTGTTGGATGTCTCCATGCAACGTAAAGGAGCTGGGAACGCTCGCATGCCCCCAGCCTGCCGTTCCGCGCACCTAGGGATGTGTGCGCGGGGGGGAGGGGGAGAAAAAGCGATACGTTCGAGACCAGGGGCCGTCGAGAAGGTTGGTTTTGATGTGGCTTGGAGCCAAGAGCGCGTGGAAAGATCAAAAAGAAAGGGAAGAAGGTTCGTCGCGATGGTGGAAGGCCGCGATTGGGGAAGCCCAGGGAGGATACCACGCGGGCTCAGCGGGCTCAGCGGGCTCAGCTCATCAAGGCGATCGAGGCTAGGACAGGAGCTAAAATCCCTGCAGTGCAGGTCCCAAGGTTGGAATCCCTAGATCTGCGTGCGTTGTGGTGTGGTGTGGTGGGGTGTGACCAGATCTCCATGTCAAACTTCCTGCGCGTAAGTGTGCATTTGCGCGCGTTCAGTCGGACATTTACCCCTCTTCTACGCACGTTTGGGCCTTTCAAGGGTGTCGCAGCCCTTTCGGTGTTGGTGATCAGAAATGCAGTCGACCAACTTGTGTGTTTCCATGGTTCATGCAAGGTGTTAGGGAGGTAGGTGGGCTGGGGAGCAGGGGAGCCATCGGGAAGTTGGTGTGGGGGATTTCGGGGGCTTCGACGATCCGAGCCATCCCTGCAACGAAGCACTCAGCGAATCAGGGCTTTCCAATGGGCCAGCCTGTGATCAGCTCTCCACTTTACCAAGCCCAGAAGCATCAAAATCTCGGGACGTCACTACTTGGAGCAAGGTTGTTGACTCAGCACACCTGACGGTCGTGATCGAGATTACACATGATGGAAAGTGCCCTCGGTGCTGTGTTTGAGAGCGGAATGATTGGATGAGAAAAAGAAAAGAAGCTTTGAGGCGATTGGCCGCATTCATTGCAACACCATGAACTCAGGTACCTAACGTCCAGTTCAGGTTTCCTGACACCGACGAGTACCAAGACCGACAGAGTCCTCCCAAACAACCCCGCCGCCAACAACAGCAAGCATGCGCATTAGCGGCAACCTTCATTGAGCCAAGGGTGCTGGAGTGCCTCCCGGACATTGATCCGCCGCCGAGGATCGAGACAGGTCATCCTGAAAATAAGACCCTTGAACTGATGAGAAGCCCTCCAAATCGGCTGACAAAGGGGTCATTCTCTCCTCCATGGTACTCGATGAAACCATGGAAGTCGTCGATGTCATTGAGAAAAGATACGTGGCGCCTGAGTATCATATCTGATGGGTCCTCGGCTTTGTTTGCCTCGTCTGAGTAAAAGATCATCCGGTCGAGCCAGACATATATGGCCTGGATCGAGGTAAGCCGAGGTAGACATTCGTTAGTATCTTGGCGGCTAACATTAAGGGTTGGGAGAGGGTTGTGGAACTTACAACGATGCCGAATGAGAAGATGTCGGCGGAGGTATTCTGCGCTCCTCTTGCCCACGCTTCAGGGCTCCTCCAGAACTGGTTCCCAGAGAGGCGCTTCCCGAGGCCTTGAGAGTTGGGAGGTACAACAAAAGCCTCCTCCAGGTCCGTGATCTGGACATTCCTAAACCCAAGAGTCCCGTCGCTTTGCTTGGGCATGTCCATCATGATGTTGGAAGGTTTGATATCTACCAGAGATGTTAGTGGCTAAAAGTTGATGTACTACTAATAACTATATGGATAGACAACTGACCTGTATGATGGATCTTCTTATCATGTAGGTCAGACAAGCCCGCAAGAGCGTCCCTTAATATCATCTTCTTGGCAGAGGGAGGGATTGCTGCCGTGTTGACCGACTGTAGATCATACTGCAGGAACGGAAATACGAGCATATGGCGATCAGGGAGACTATCGATAAACGTGCGGACATAGGCAGAGTCGACAAGTTTCTGCAAATCCAGATTATACTGAAAATCTCCGGGCTGGATATCCTTCAGTATATACTGCTTTCCCTCGTGGCTGGTGTAGAGCAAGGGTTAATCCTCGGTTGGGACGAGAGAAGGCTATCGCGGCTAAACCTACATCCCACGGTACAAGCAACAGAGTAAGGGTCCCCTCCGTCGTTCGTAAATGATTTCATCAATTATGTAGGATCTCCCTAAGGCGGATGTGATTTGCGTTCCTTCGGCAAGTGTCTGTTGGCGGGGTGCCATTGAAATGGGGATTGCGGTCGACGACATGCTGGTGGATGAGATTCGATTTCGTATTGGAGCGCGAGGGAAGCAAGGTGATGGAGGGCGAAGGTTGGGCAAAAGAAGGGAGAGAGACGAGAGCTAATAAACCAAACAAGGTCGTAAGCGCAAACGCGAAGACAACGTTACCGCCGGGGATGCCATGGCAAACGAGCGGCACCTCCCTTTATTTATGTTTTCGACATGGATCGAGCGATGAGTTTGAATGTGCACTTGGCCCCACGGTCACACGGCGCAGGCCGTGAGCTTATCTACCTACCTATATATTCATACTATCTCCACAATCCAGCCCACGAACCAATCGGCGCAAGTTATCTCATGCCTGATGTATATATATATATATCACGTACACTCACGCACAGTACACTCTACATAGTAAATGTAACTTTACGTAGAAATATATATCAACCTTTCCCCCCCTTGGCGTAAAAAGGCGTTACGCTGGCGCCCTTTCGTGTATGGCCCGTTTCAGAACAAGGCCGCTTGTGTATAAGCCCGCAATGTTAAGTCACACAGGTGGATGTTAAGCTGAATCCTCAAAGAGCCCCCCGGCCTCCAGGCTCCCTGTTCCTCGCTAGTCTTGCTGGCATGGCTGGTCTTGCTGGCTGCGGCCGGGCAACCCGATGGCTCATGCATTCCGAGGTTCTAGAGGCCGCAGCGTCAGGATGCGATGCGGCCAGCTTCACGAAACCATGCTAGGCCTCGTGTGCCAACAAGCACTTGGTAGTTTGGCTAATTCAAGGTCGGTTTCCAGGGTCGGTTCTTATGATGTGGCTACCTACCGGAACCAAGTATTTGACCTCGACAAAGTTGGCAGGTGCAGGGTAGGCCAGTTGGGAGGAGGGAGGTGCAGTGCAGGATGGAGGAGGTTGTTCGACAAACCTTCAGCAGTTCCCTAACTTCCCTTCAAACAAACATTTACTTGGCTTCCAAACTTCTTGGAATAAGCTGTTTTCTGGCCATCCTCTTCCAACCATCGACTCTCTCGCTCAGATCACGATGTCCGCGCCCAGCATAATCAAGGCCACCAAGGCCATCACTACCATTTCCACGGCGAACGGCCCAGTCCGACTGAACCAGTCGTCGTTGGCTATGTGACGCAAGTCTCGCCGTTGGCCAGGATTACTATAAGAAATCCATTCGGAGGCCCGAAATCTACTCTAGATCTAACCTGGTTTCCTTTATATAATTCATTTTACTCGGTCTCTTTTATTTAAGCTATTTTACTCGGCTTCCCTCCTCTTTTTATGTTTTCTTGATTCTCTTTTTTTTTTCTTTGTTTCTTTCCTTCTTGGGTCCTTCTTGAGTTCGGCTTTTGTTGGCCAGAGGGTGCCAGCCTCTCGTTATTGGAGATCTCCGACTCTTCCAGTCTCTTACGGGTACTGTGTCATTACAAACCCAACATCAGTGCATAAGTTATTGTAACTGTCTTCTGGAATGTGCTTACCACACCACCTGTACTTCATCGCTCCAACTGTTCTATGCCTTTGTCTTTAAACTGTCAAGTTCTCGGTGCAATTATACGCCTGCTTACAGAGCGCCGGCTCTCGAGATTAAACGCAACAGAACTCGGATGAGACCTCGGCGTCAGTCTCGGGTCACACGCGTGTGAATGGTTTTGGTAGGCGGCGACACCTTGTTCAAAGTTCTACTAGTCAGGCTTGGGAGCCGGGGCGGGCTAGGGGTTGCCGCGTTTGGGGGGTGTTAGGGGTGTTGATGGATGGATATGCTCGTCGTAGTAACTTCAGGCAAGGCTACCTACCTAGGGACCTACCTAGCTTCAAGTGGTGAAAGTGAATCGCTACCAATTGGCAGGAGAATGCACGATGCAAAACAAGATGTGTAAAGACGACTATATGAAAAACGAAGATCCTTGGTTGGCTCAGGTAGCTATTCAAGAAGATTACTACAAAGTTCACTAGTTATTAAGCGACTTAGGGTAGTTATATCGTAGAGTTATTCGGTAGTTATTGCTTTTATGTTAGAGCTATTTAGGAAGTTTAACGCTGTCGACATCAACTTCATCCCTAAACCGCCGCTCGCTCTGCTTAATTTTCATATCCACTCCATAAACTAGCACTTGTCTTATCATTCCTCTCCAAAAATATAGTCTGAAATGCCCGATGTTCGCCACCATTGTCTCGTCTCATCGCGCCACTCATACCAATACTTAGCTGTGATCTGAGCTGTTTTGTCACTGAAACCATACTATACTCTATTCAGATAACAGCTTGAGAAAACAAACCCGGTTGTCCGTAAATGCAATAAGGTCTTCGGTGATGCGGCGCTCCTTTTGCCTTTTCCACTTTTGGGCGAGAAACCTCACAATCTCGGCCCGTCCCTGGAGAAGGGAGTTGCCTTCCCGCCACGTGGAGTTGTAGGTAAATATGGATTGGAGATGCTCTAGATTTCTAGAACTGGTCAATATATAACGTTATACCAGGGTAGGTAGGCAGCATAGCTAACCTCCATTCCATATTTCTTGCCCGGTTTTAACCTTCTGATAGGCCGTCTCGGGCGTGAATGGGGGCCGGGTGAGCCAGCCGGACTCGGAGTTGAGGAAAGAAGAGGAGTCCGTCTTGGGGTAGGTGGTGAGATAGGACGCCATGGCGACGGAGCTCCAAGATGTGTTGCGGCGGCTAAGATGGCGAACGGCGAAATAGATAGCCAAGGGCGGCCACAAATAACGAAGGACAGGTACAGATGACGAAGGGCAGGCACAAATAGCAAAGGGCGGGGCCGGCAAATATACCACAATAACAGCAACACTACTGAAAAGAGGGAGGGGAAATCATGTTTACCACTCGGGCTGGATGGGTGGCTTAAAATACTGGCTGTAGCTTTGGGGCGACTGATGAACTGGGATGCCGGCCTCCCCGTGACCAGAGGGCTAGCGGGCCAGGATTTTCGATTTCCCATTTTCTTCTGCTTCGGCATCCTTAGTTAGGGACCGGGTCTTCCTCGAGGCGAGGACCAGCCAGGCAATTTTGAGTTTCTTCACCGCGGCCCTGTGACGATATTGACATCACAAAGATCCACAGGTGACGGCAACGCAGAGAAGCCAGAGATGGCACACGACCGTAAACACCACTTCGGGCCGAAGCGAATGGCACAAGAATTAAGTAACCTATCCTTTGCCCGCACAGCATACCAAATCACCCGATATATACCGCAATATCCGGAATGCCTCGAGAACGCAACGAACAGATGACCGCCACTGGGCGAATCAAGCCCGATCGACACAACCAGAACCCCATTCCCGGTCATCACAGTCGACTTCGTTACAGGTCTCCCAGCTATTGAAGATGGCCGAATCTGGGCAACACCCCGTAGAGACTTCGATACGCTCATGTCCGTTTTTGGCACATTCGATAAAAAGGAACATCCTCATCCCCGGAAGAAGCGACTGGATCGCAGAGAAATGGGAAAAACAACTACTTCTGTATCTATACCCAGTTATCAGACTAGGGACTGCCAGCCTAGATCATCTCTGATCGGGGCCCCAAGTTCGTACCCAACACAAGACGCGCGGCAGGTGGCCCAAGCGTTGGTGGTATGAGAGGTGTTGAGGTGTATCGCCACTTGCCTGGCCTATCGTAGACTGTAGTGCGCTCCTTTGCCACTCGTGCGGGGAATAGGTTGACTGGTAAGTGGGTGGCCAAAAAAAGACACGTCACATGTCCTACCACTATATTGTTAGGAGACCTAGCTAGAAATTGAACTTCAAGAAGTCTTCAGGCAAGATGCTGAAAGACAGCCAGAAATAGAGAATAACGGTCTTGTTTAATTGGCAATGGTAGGTTCAATTCACTAACTGATTCCCTATTACACACTGAGCTTGTGGTACATTACTTGGTAAGAAGCGCTGGCCCTGATCGAGCCTCCTTGGATTAGCGAGTCCTAACCTTCGTTCGCCTCCCCATCACCAGGTACTGTCTCCCTGCCTGCCCGTCTTGGACCATCTCTGAAAAGTTTCATCACGCTGAAAAGTGGTCCGTACTGCCTGACCTGTGAAATCTGGGACATGTGCATCGCCACACGTCAAACACTGTTGTTGTTAGGTAGGTAGTTTTGACGGCACGAACCACGCTCTCTGAAATGGTTTTCGTGAAAAAGATTGGCGGCGCCCCCTGAACAGGCGAACCCGCATGTCATCAAATTTTCTTGATACCATCAATTGCAGGTGTTATGGTGGGCAAAATTGGTGATCCCCATGTCTCTTATCCTCCTGTCTGCTTGTAACTTTGCAGGTCGTTGCGCTCCTGAAAATAAATGCAATGCCAGGACCGATAATGCCATCCGGCGAACGGAAAAACGGTTCCATCCCCTGACCCAAGACCTGGACCATCTAACAAAACAAAAAGGGGTAGGTACGACCCAGCTCAATGCCTCTATCTTCTGACACATGACTATAATTCAATGACTCTTATCTGCTTAAAGAACACGCTAGAATTGGAAGCATGATATTAGGAAAATGAATAGCTTCATTTTTAGAATCGTGGTAAGGCTTTTTTTGTCGACCACTTGACTGGGGCTACTAAATAAGTCACCCCCACCGAAAGGAACGATCGGCTGGGAGGCAGGCGGGAGACGGGATCAGCGGCAGACGGGCCATCTCCGACCGTTAACCCGGGCAGCCCCACCGTGCAGTCGTGCACCGGGGCGAGGGAGGACACTACTGACCTCGGACTCTTGAATTGATTACCTTACCTCGGTACGAAATAGTTAGTTATGTCCGTAACGATTGATGGAAAACGTCGAACGCCGAACGTCGAATGAGCCGAAAGCTCCGAATACGTACCTAGTTAAAGGTTGGCCTCGATTGGGTTATCGAGGTAGCCGATGGCGCAATGCAGTGTTCCCCAAGCATCATGGATGATTTGGGAAAGGGTGTGCGGCACGGGCTTGCAATTGAGCACCTTGACGTCCACGGCATGTTGTATCCCCAACTGCGTTAATGTGATGAGAGCGAGGGGAACAGCTCGGAGCGGATCCACTGAACGAACCCCTCTGCCTGCCCCTCAACTCCACGCTATAAACAACTCCAACTCCCCATCCTCGACAGCTTAAGGAACAAACCAACACAACCTTGCTACCTGCCCCAAGACACTAAAACCACCATACTACCAGCCACATATCAATTGATCACTCACTCAAAATGGCCACCCTCCAAGCCGGCTCCTCTTTCCCGGAAGGCGTATCCTTCAGCTACATCCCCCCCACTGGCAACCTCGACGTCACAGTCTGCGGCATCCCGACCACGTACGACGCCAGCAAAGACTTCCAAACCCACAAAGTCGTCCTCGTCGCCGTCCCGGGGGCCTTCACGCCCACGTGCCAGGAGCAGCACATTGTCTCCTACCTGTCGCACCTTGCCGAGCTCAAGGCCAAGGGCGTCGACAAGGTCATCTTCATCGCGTCCAACGACGCCTTCGTCATGTCGGCGTGGGGCAAGGCGAATGGGATCAAGGATGAGTCGATTGTAAGTTTTTATTGGTTTGGCTTTTACTTGCTGCTTGCTGCTTGCTGTTTGCGCATGCTGGGGAGCGGCAGGTGCGGGAGTTCATGTTGAGTTGCGCTGAGCTGAGCTGACATGGGGACGATAGCTTTTTATGTCGGACGGCGGTGCGGCGTTCAGCAGGAGCATCGGCTGGGCTAGCGCCGACCGCACCGGTCGGTATGCCGTCGTGGTGGACCACGGCAAGGTTATTTACGCTGAGGCAGACACTACCAAGGGGAGTATCGCACACTCCGGGGCTGAGGGTGTTTTGGCGAAGCTCTAAGTGCAGTTTGGCAGTGTGAAGACTTGGGCAAGAGGTCATAGATTGGCTTGGTGGGTTTGGCGTCGGGGTAGGTAGGTAGATGCGCCGCGCCGCTCCATCGTCATTACATTCATAGAGGAAGAAGCTCATCCCTGCTCAACCCGCTCCCGCGCGCCGTGCTGCTTCAAGTGAGACCAATGCATAAGTCGGCATTCTGTGAGCTACCCATGCAAATGGCCCCCCTCCCCCCGTCACGCAGGATCCATGCAACCGGCCCTTTCAGAAAACAAGCTGGCTCTGTCAACTTGTTGCGAGAGTAGAAAACCCTATAAGAGAGCTGAGCAGGCAAAAAACCGAGTACCGACCGACCGACTCCAGCGTTTTCCCTCCCGGCCACAGGCAAGACCGTAAGATAACCATTCATCTATTGTGTGCTCCTTGCATGACCTGGCTTTCCCTTTGCCTCGGAAAGAACACGCTCCCATCCCGGACCAGCAACCGCCAAAGACAGAGAGACCTTAGCGGGTGTTGGCGGCGACCTTCTGCTGCGCACCCTTCGCACCCTGCTTGCCGACGATGCGGCCGCCAGACTGGCCCTTGGACGCGGCGGCAGCGTTCTTGGCCTTCTCGGCCTTCTTGGCCGCCTGCTCAGCCTGCCTCTTCTCCTTGCTCTCCTTGATGGCAGCCAGGCGGGCCGCGCTGCGGGTCTCCGGGCGGATCGAGCGGCGCTCCTTGATCACATCGAGCGAAGCACCAACGATGGCACGCTGCGACTTGACGGTGCGGCGAGTGCGCTTCTTGGCGACTTCCTGTATGGGAGGTCAGCGGGCCGTCCTGTAATACTCCTAAATATATTCCTCATCCATTTCGTTATCGCAACCAAGCCCCTCCCAATCGTTCCCATCTCGTTCTCAGACATGTACAAGTGCGGGGAGCTCATACCTCTGAGATACCCTTGCGGTGTTGCCTGCGGTAGAGGACGGTCCAGGCAATGCGACGGGGGTTCTTGCGCTGGAGGAACAGCGACTCGGACTTGCCGTTCTGGAAGCGGAAGATCTTGCTGTCGCCACGGACGTACAGCTTACCCTGTAGTGTAAAACATGGTCAGAACTGTCGCTGTCTCGAACAAAATCATATCTCCCAAGCCTTCCGACGTCAAATCCCCCACCCCGGTCCTCGTCTGTCGTCATTCAACTTCGCGCGTAGCTCTCGGGCTCGCTGCGGGACTCGGGGTGGGAAATTCGGCGTCGGGTTCGATCGGGGAGATGGGCAATTCGTACCTTGCCGGGGTAAATCCGCTGGCCCGAGAAACTGTCGTCGTAGGTTCTCATTTTGGCGGTGTTTGTCGATTGTCGTTGTCGGGTTGCTTCCTCAAAGTTCAAGGTCCCACGTCGATTTTCGCCAAATTCTTTGGTGCAGGTTGTGGGATAGGGCTGTCTCTGTGATAGGCTGCTGCGCGAGCGCGGGAGGCCCACTTTCGAGATGTGGCTGTGCTAGACGGCACGCCACTGTTACCCGGAACAAACCCTAACCCTGTAATCGCATCCGTTACCTGCCTCATTGTTGTTCTCCGTTCAGGTATCTTCCCGATGACTCGTCTAACGTGCTTCAAACAGGCAGACTTGCGATGGGTAATGAAGCTGATGACAAAGCGGCGGTTGTGTTAGAAGAGTTTGGAAAACTCCCTGCAAAGCGCCGACCCGCTGTCCGTGACAATGGACTCCGGGAATGGGTCCCCTTGGGCGGTATTGTTGTGAGAGGTACCTTGGCAGCTTTCCACAGGGTTTCTATCAATGTTCTGACTTTATATTTTGAGTCAGGTCCAACATTCTTAAAATGCGTGGCGCTGGCGTGAGTCTGATCCTTGGGCCACAACCCCCTGAATGCTCCTAAGCCCTCAGTTACTGGCTGAATGTTGACACCGCTTGCAGGACGGGCATGAAATGCCTCCCGGTTTCCAAGCTCCCACAGGCCAACGGCGTTGCACTTCATGACTGGCACGCCGAGGTTCTCGCCATTCGTGCTTTCAACCGGTTCATTCTCGACGAGTGTCGTCGCCTGGCCGAGGATAGTTCCGCAGAATCTGACTACCTCCGACGGAGGACGGAAGAGGAGCTACCCACGACCTCTGACGGGTCCTGGAACCGCCAGCCCTTTGCCTGGCGCGAAGACCTGACCCTCCACATGTACTGCTCCGAAGCCCCCTGTGAGTTGCCTGCCCCCATCCCCTCACCACCTATCCTCTATCTCCGTGCCCCGAACTAACGACCCCCAGGCGGCGACGCCTCCATGGAATTGATCATGTCCTCCCAAGAAGACGCCACACCCTGGGAAACCCCCACCCCCCTAACCCCTTCCCCCTCACCCCCCCAACATCCATCACCATCATCACCACCACCACCACCACCCCCAATAACCTCCTCCACCCCAACCCCAACCCCCCTCCTCGGCCGTGGCTATTTCTCCCACCTCGGCATCGTGCGCCGCAAGCCCTCGCGCGCCGACGCGCCCCCCAGCCACTCCAAGTCCTGCAGCGACAAGCTGGCGCTGAAGCAGTGCACGTCGCTGCTGTCGTCGCTCACCGCGCTCTTTGTCTCGCCGCGGGGGGTGTATCTGGCGAGTTTGGTGCTGCCGGTGGCGCAGTTCTCGAGGGAGGGGTGTGAGCGGTGTTTTGGGGCGGGTGGTGGTGGTGGGAGGATGGCGCCTGTGGGGGGCAGGGTGTGGGAGGGGACGGGGTATGGGTTTCGGCAGGTTGTGGTGGAGACTACGGAGAGGGAGTTTGAGTTCTCGCGGAGGGGGGCGGGGATGGCGGGGGAGATGAAGGTGGTGGCGAGCAACCTTGCTGTTGCATGGACGGTCGGCGGGGAGGTGGAGGAGGGGTTGATTGGCGGGGTGTTGCAGGGGAGGAAGGGAGTTGATGTGAAAGGAGCTAGTTCGACGTCGCGACGGAAGATGTGGGCAGCCGCGGTGACGGTTGCGGGGATGTTGGGAGACGATGGGATAGTTAAGGAGCTGGGGGCGGCATCGTATGATGGGGTCAAGGAGGGGAGCTTACTGCAAGGTAGGCGAAGGGTGAAAGAAGAGGCAAGAAGGGAGGCACTGAAGGGATGGCTTAGAAACACAGGTGACGGTGAATTCAATCTGTAAGGTTGAGATCTTCCATGGTATATACCTCGGTACTGGCATACTGGACGCTGCACCACAACGACCAAGTCTGGCGCCTCCTCTTGTCATAGCCACGCACTCTAGCGATTGACTACACGCTCGCAATCGACCATGTGTTCCTCCTTATCCCTCAGGCCTAGGCTCTGAGGCCGATATAATGGATACTGTAGACGCCGACATGCCTTCGTGGAATAACATAATCGTTTCTGCCCTCGCAACACCACGCAATGCAAAGCACGCAACGAATTGTGATAGAGTTTTATTTCTCGGGATCAGGTCGTTCACTCGACCTTGTTCTCGAAGCTCTCGCCGGCCACGAGGTCGGGGATCTCATCGTCATCATCCTTCTTCTGCTGCATGTTCTGGTAGCTCTCGGCCAGCTTGCGGAGCGAGGCAAGCGAGTCGGGGCCGAGCTGGTTGAGGATGCCGGGCACGAGCTCCGTCAACTCCTTGTCCTCACCGTTGCCGTAGATGGCGAAGGTGTTGGAAGGGACAGCGGCGTGAACTAGAAACCCAACCTGTCAGCAATTCGACCGTTGACCTTGTCGGCCGATCGTACGAACCCTTGGGAGCAGCGAAATGGATAACGTTTCCATCGCTCTTGAACATGTTGACCTCCTCAATCGCCTGGATGGGCTGGACATTGAGCTTCTTCAGCGACTGCTGCAGCTTCTTGTCATCGGCGCCAGAGCGCGCAGGCGCGCGCTTCACCTTCCTCCGGGGGGTGCCCTTGCCACTATTCGTCACGAAAGTTCGTCAGAGTCTCGGATCACTGCGCGGGGTTCGAGGCAATTTCGGCGTGATTGAATCTAGACATACCCTGCCGGCAAGGTGGGTTAGTCGGCCGATCGGAAGCGGGGAAGTCGAGGTGAGAGAAGCAGCAACGTACCGATACGAGCGGAAGCACCAAGCTTCTTCAAACGTTCCTGAACGTCCGCCATGATCTGTAATGTGGAGGATGGAGTTTTGGTGGGGGGAGGGACAAGATGGCTGGGGCGACGACTCGGTAAGCTTGAGCTTGGGGTTGATTAGTTAGCCTAGGGCAGTTTTGGGGTCCAGTGCACACACACACACACACACAACGCCTTGTTTGTCTGCTGCTGCGGGGATGCAATCGTCAAAGGTTCGAAACGGCGGGTTAGAACGTACTCTGTCAATCGGGGATAAATTCCGTCCTGGTTTTACCTCGGAGTATCGTGATAGGCCCGCGATGCCTTCTGCCTTGTCTGGTCGTCAGTGGTTGGAGAATTTGTGTGCGCCTGGGCCCTGATATTTTTCGCAGTCGCATAAACTTTTACCCCACTTCGACAGCCGCTCACCGTCTTCACCGAGCCCCTCTCTCACCTTGCGAGGATCCAGCCTTCTTGGGTAGGAACAAAAAGAAAGTCATCCAAAAGCCCAAATTGCACTCTTTACTTTAGGTGCTTTGATGTCTTTTATTTGATTCATTTTACTCGATTTCCTTTATTTCTTTTTCCTTTCTTGATTTCTTTAACTTCTGTCTCTTTCTTGATTTTACTCCCTTTTCGGGTTCGTCCTTTTTTTGGCCAGAGGGGAGTGAATAGGTGATAGGCAGTTCCAACGGGCCACACTAAATAAGTTACTTGACCATGTGAGGGAAGCTGGGATTTCTGCTTTTATTATTTTTGATAGTCTTAGTTGATCTTTTTCGAAATCTCCGACCTTGGAGCTTTGCCCAGCTATCAAGATGCTTGCTCTCATCCAACCCTGGATCGTGATATCACATGTCAAGGTTCAAGTCAAACGCACCGCAACCTACAATGTGTTGTTGTGGGAGTTTCTTGTTGTACAATCCAAATCGGATACATCGTACAACCAACTCGCCGTTCGTCACCTCTTCCCACCGTATCACCGGGTGGTCTCAGAGGATGCAGATTCTGCTGGTAACCCAACCTCCCTCCTCATGGCTTCTTTCCTGGCCTTCAACTCCTCTGCCGCCTTCAGCGACTCGGCAATGGAGGCTTGCCTGACGCGCTCCTTTTCTGCCTCGGCTTGGACAGTCCATACTACGTCCTGATTAGTAGAGAAACAAGGGGTACTCCCACGGACATTCAAACACTTACTTGGCTTGTCAGATTTTGAGTCTCTCTTGAGTCTATTAACAAAGTCGTCAAACTCCTGCTGCCGCTCAAATCTCCTCTCCAGACTCCGCTTCTGGAGTTCGGGATTGTATTTTTGGAAGAGTTCCTCGTCGGTGGGTTGCACCCATCTTGTCAAAGCCGGGCCACCGACAATGATGGCACCACCCCTATCTCATCTTGTCAGTGAAATGTCGGTTTCAACAGGACTCGGGAGAACTTACGCGACGAGCATTTTGGTCCATAGCCACCAGTTGAAGGGTTTTTTGACCATCCTGAAACGGGGAACTCAAGGTTCCAGCTGGGTTAGCCGGCCGCTGAGAGTTAAGTGATAGCGTTTCTCTTGAAGATTTATTGCCCAAGTTTCCTTTCAGCTTCCCTGTTCGCTCATCAAGTCTCAGGTCTCTTTCTCAATGAGGTCGGCTGCTCTCGAAGGCGGGCAGATACGGCAGAAAATTGTCAAGGGAGGAAGGAGGCAAGGGTTAAAGCTTGTGGGGCACAGTCATGTCATGCGGCAGCGGCCCCGCTGAACCATCTGGGGCCACCAACGGCTGCCGTCTCAGAATGTTTCTTCATGAAAGTTTCTTTCCGGGACAGGCCCAATAGCAATGCCGCTCTCCCGAATCACAAGCCACCTTCACGAGACTGTATCGGGCCTTTCTCACAATCACCACTCGGCTGTCGAAGCTGAGCCAGCTCTATTTCTTAGATTTCTTCAATGGAAGGCACATCCCGCGTGTTTTCACGGCAACACAATGAGGAGAGCTCGCCTCGACAAGCTTCGGGACGGATAGACAGTAGACGTCTTGAAACACAAGCTGGGTCCATCCATGAAGACAATCTCGGATGCCGGGCGGATGACAAGGTGCAGTGGCTCCTTTCTCAAATCTTACGTCTCTGTGGCGTCGAGAAATCAGTTGCGAGTTTTCAACAATGCCCGCTCTCGTGAAGCGCTCAAAACGCGGTTGGTACGAAGTACGATGCAACTACCTAATGAGGGAGTAATTAGGTGCCGCCGCAGGCCTGCAGGTAAATAAATGCACTGTTCCATCCCCCCTGAATGTTTCGTTGTCAGTCCCGGCCAGGCTCCAGCTGCAGAGTTGTTCGGCCCAATTCCCGTCTGGCCCCTCGACAGCAAGCCCGCAGCCGTCCAGTTCCGCGATCAAACGTGGCGGGTAGGGGCTTTAATACCAATCACGACGAGACCGTGGGCGGCTTTTGATACGCGGTCGTGTTAGGTAATTACGCCGCCGCGTCAACACCTTGCGGCCGGCCCTCGGGCCCGTAGAAGCGCGAAAAGGCTTTGACAGGTAGGAGGGTGATCGCCATGCGAAGTCGTCGGCAAGAGATGAAAACCTGGGAGTGTCTGACCCCGAGGGCGAATCAACCCGCTGATCACCGCCGAGAACCAAATGTCAGAGGGAGAGCCCGGACGTGGTCCAGCTGACTCTCCTCCTCTTACGGCTTGTTGTGTTATTTACACCCGTTTCACACCCATACGGGTTTCTACGGACTGTGTGCCCAAGTTGAAGAGCCGCCCGCGCCAGGGATTGCAATGAAACAGGAAAAGCAAAGTTGGTTGTCCTCTTTACAAGTAGGCGGCTTTGGCAAGCGCCAGCCTTGGGAAAGAAAGCAGTTGAAGCAAGACGCCTGGCCGGATCAATAGAACGACAATTAAGGGTTCATTACACAGCGTTGTATTGAGACCCTTGCCAGGTGTAACAACCCCTGGGCCGGGGCTGGCCCCGCGCTGGGTCAAAACCCACCCTACCCGTCCAAGCCTGAGGGGTGCACCCGGCCACGGAAGAACGGCTTTTAGCTTATCCAGCAACGCCCGGGGCACAATGCATTCCTCTGCTTCCGGGTTGTGTTCACGACCGCACTTTTCAACACCTTCCCCGGTCCCGCCGGCCATTCCATTCCTTGGGAGCACTGCATGCTCTACTGTTTCACACCCTTACTTTCTGTATTTTTGTACTGCAACCTTTAGACACGCGTTCTTTCGAAAGACGACAGTGACGACCGTCACTCTTCTTTTACCTTATTAGGCTCTTGGCTGTGTCGTCGTTGCGCTGCGGTGCGGATCCTACGAGGCCGCCGACTTTGTGTGTCGCCCCTCACCCTTCTTCAGTGTCTCGCTCGACTTGCCGCAATACATCGAAACCGACCTCCGGGCTTGCCGACTTAATTCGGGCTTTCGAAATTGCCATCTGGTGCCGTTGCCATGCGACTAATTTAGACCCGCCACAAGGACAACAACTACGAGCCAAACAAGATATTGCCGACACAAACCCGGTTCGTTGGCATCATGGCGTATAACGGCCAGTACGATGGGCCCCCTGGCCCTGGTGGGCGTCAGCAGTATGGCGGAGGCCCAGGAGCTCAGCGCCCGCCGCCGCAGCGACAGTACCCTCCGGGTCCTCAAGGACCCCAGCATTACAACGCGCCGCCGCCCCAGCAGCAGTACGATCAGTATCAAGACGGATATGGCCAAGGCTACGATGAATATGGCAACGGATACGACCAGGGTTATGATCATCAAGGCTATGGCGGACAACAGTACGATGACGGCGGCTACGGAAGAGGAGGACCTCCACATCAAGACTATCAGCAGGAATACTACGATCCGGGTCCAAATGGACCTGGGCCCGGAAGGGGAGGCGGACGACCTATGCCCAGCGGAAGAGGAGGCCCAATGAGGCCTCCGCCTGGCGGTGGTGGTCGAGGAGGCGGTTACCCACCCCGCGGTGGCGGCTACCCTCAAGGCCCTGGCGGCCGAGGCTACCCCCCGCCCGGTCGTGGTGGTCGGCCAATGCCGGCTGAGCGTGCCGCGAATTCAGACCCCGGTGGTGAGTTTGGGAGCCCATAACCGCCGCCCTACCACAATGGTATGCTAATACTTGATTTCAGCAAACCGAGGATCGCCCATGGGTGGTCCAAGTCCGGCCAATTCCGGTGGCCCAGGCTACGCCGGCCCCTTCCCGTCCTTCCCCGGTGCCCCGCGCAAGACAGACTTAGAACAAGAACAGCAGATCGTGGCAGGTATGGAAGGTATGGACATATCAGGACAACGGCCAGGGCCGAGAGGTCCGAACGGCCCGCCACAGCAACGAGGGCCCATGCGCCCTCCCAACAACTACGGCGGACCGGGGCCGATGGGGCCTCCTCGTGGTCCACCGCAAGGCTACCACCCGCAAGATTATCCGGACCAACGCCGCGGCCCTCCGCCGCCAGGGCCCGGGTACGGACCGCAAGGAGGCGGCTACCAAGAGGAGAACTTTGGGCCTCCGTCTCGGAGCATGACAATGCCAACGAGAGATCACATGGACATGCGCCAGCCCGGTCCTCCTATGCGGCGGGATAGTGCCCCTTTTAATGGCCCTCCTCCCCGCGGCGTGCCGCAAAGACCGAGCACCGCGCAAGGGATGCGGCAACCTCCGCCTAGGATCTACCCTCCGAGTGGCAATGGCCCTCCTCAGCAAGAAGGATATCGGGAGCCTACGCAGAGAGCCGGGCCCGACTCTGGCTACGGCCAAGACCGGCCTTCATCTATCGACAATTTCTATGATTACTACGGCGGAAATGAAGGGTACCCGGGGCAGAACCCTCCCTCAGCTTCGGCCGCATCCGAGGTTCCGGATTTTGATGCCATGTCAGCGCAACAGCAGCCGAGAAACTCATTCGACACCCACATGCAGCCTGGCCAACAGGAGCAGGCTCAGCGCGGTCCCGGTAGATATCCCGAGGTAAGCAGGGCCAAATCCCAGCCCGACTTGCGTAACTCGCAGACGGCTGTGTTCGAGATGGCAGGCGACATCCCGCCCCTACCTACCCAACAACCCGGCCAACCACCAGCAGGGTTGGCTAACGGGCCGGCGCCTTACCAAGGGCGTGCCGGTCCGTCTCCAGGTCCGGGACTACCTCCTGGGCCGGCGCCTTACCGACCCGGTATGCAACCTTCGCCCCAACCAGGGCCCGGTCCCGATAGTCTTCCCTCCCATCCCACGCCCGTTCGCCCCGGGCACATGCCTGGCTCGGTGGTCAACCTTAGCGATCGGCCGCCACCGGTGAGGAATTACAGCGGCGCCACCAACTACAGCGGCAACTCGGGGCCCTCTCCTGCAGGAGGAGGAGGCTACCAACAAGGCCCGCCGCCTATTCAACAGGCTCCCAATGAGCCTGCGAAGCCTGCGGAAGCACCCGTCACCATCGAAGAACTAGAACACTTACGGGCCGTGGTCAAGAACGATGCCGGTGACCAAGTGACGGCCCTCCGTCTCGCCAAGCGCCTCGTCGAAGCGTCGGATGCGCTTGTGCCCAATCTCCCAGACCCCAAGGCGCGCGCCCGCTCCCGCGACCGCTACCTCGTAGACGCGCACAAGATCCTCCGCAAGCTCGAAAAGGCCAACAACCCGGACGCCATGTTCTTCCTCGCCGACTGCCTCGGGCGCGGCCTCTTTGGCAGCGAGCCCGACAACGCGCACGCCTTCTCGCTCTACCAGTCCGCCGCCAAGCTGGGCCACGCCGCAGCCGCCTACCGCACCGCTGTCTGCTGCGAGATCGGCAACGATGAGGGCGGCGGCACGCGCAAGGACCCGCTCAAGGCCACGCAGTGGTACAAGCGGGCGGCGACGCTCGGCGACACACCCGCCATGTACAAGGTGGGCATGATCCTGATCAAGGGCCTACTGGGGCAGCCGCGCAACCCGCGCGAGGCCATCAGCTGGCTCAAGCGGGCGGCGGAGCGCGCGACGGCCGAGAACCCGCACGCGCTGCACGAGCTGGCCCTGCTGTACGAGAGCGCCGAGCCCAACGACGTCATCCTGCGCGACGAGCCCTACGCCTTCCAGCTGTTCCAGCAGGCGGCCGAGCTGGGCTACAAGTTCAGCCAGTTCCGCCTCGGCTGCGCCTACGAGTACGGCCTGCTCGGCTGCCCCATCGACCCGCGCCTGTCCATCATGTGGTACAGCCGCGCCGCCATGCAGGAGGAGCACCAGAGCGAGCTGGCCCTGTCCGGTTGGTACCTGACCGGCAGCGAGGGCGTGCTGCAGCAGAGCGATACCGAGGCCTACCTGTGGGCGCGCAAGGCCGCCATGGCGGGGCTGTCCAAGGCTGAGTATGCGATGGGGTATTTCACTGAGGTGGGGATTGGCGTGGCGGCCAACTTGGAGGATGCGAAGAGGTGGTATTGGAGAGCGGCTGGTAAGTGTCACATTTTTCTTTTGATTCCACCGTCTAGGAAATGGGTGGCGGAAAGTGAAGAGTGAGCAATTACTAACCTATCATAACAGCCCAGGACTTCCCCAAGGCGAGAGAGCGGCTGGAGGACCTCAAGCGCTCCGGTAAGAGCGGCCCGCGCGCTAGGGAGAGGATATCGAGAAGCAAGATTGGGAAACAGCAGGAAGGGGAGTGCTCGGTGATGTGACAGGTACGGGCGGGTGGCGAGGCCGGGCAGTGAATGGTGAGCTGGCAGCAAGCGATGCGCTACGCCACCTGGGGAGCTGGTAATGATGGGGATGACACTGGGAAGATGCCAATGAGGAGTGAGTGGATGGATGATGATTGTCTACGTGGTGGCGGTACGGGGTCCAGGAAAGAGCGGAATGAATAAATGCTTCGGCTTCTCGGCCGCCAAAATAAATAGTCTTCCTGTTTGTTAAAAACCAACCCTAGGGGAGTCGGGCAGCGAGGAGAAGCCAACAGGCCAGGGTTTGAATGTATGTATTTGTAGAAGCTGAATATGAGGAGACAAAGCGGGTGAGGTGCACTATTATAGGGATTCGGGCCGGCGTCCTCTGTTCGCGGGATTTTCTTGAGAACGACAAACAAATCACCTGGGGTATGGACCAATTTAACTTGTTACGACTTAGTAATCGTCATCATTCTCTTGTATATACTGGTTCGGTGCCTGGTACAGGCAAGGTCGGTACCCCTTGGGCCTTCGGTGATAACATTGCGGCCACTGCTGCGCTGCTGCTTCCAATGTCCCTGTAATTCGTCTTTCAAAATGTACGACTGGCCCTTGGCGTAGTCTTGTGCGTTTCTGAGGCGCTTGTAACCGTCCTTGAAGTCCTCGTGGGAGTTGGGATTTGTCGACTTGATACGGTACTGGTGGTACTTGGTTGTGCCATCCTCTAATTCTTCGGCGTAGTGGGCGTACTGGTTGAGGGTAGTGCCATCCGTGGTGGACGTGATGACGCTTGCGTGATTAAGGGGGTCAAACTTTCTCTGGTACGCGAGGGCTTGGTTTCTTGCGTAGACTAGAGCAGCTCCGTCGTAGCCGCTGTGTAGCGTCGTCTCTGCCATGCTGTCGCTGGGTCCCTTTCATTCTCCGGCGATGTGTGGTAGCGTTACGGAACGGCGATTATCTTTCACAAGAACTGCCCCGTGGATATACATGTTTATGGGGAATGGGCCATGGGCCTGCATCCCTGGCCCTTCGATGAAGTTGGGCTACGGAGCTAATAGACGGTTGTTGAAGCCAACGTTTTTTGGGAGGCCAGTAAATGCCTGGTTGAAGGCTCTTTTGTAGCCGGCGTCACCAGGTTTCTTCAATAGGCTGTTATCCACCTCAAATACCATAGTCGCTTCGTTATCGGCTTCTCCAACTACGCTAACGTAGTGTCCGTACACTGACTCAGGAGATGACGTAGTTGCCCGTGACTTTGGAGCCGTTCGCGGATGTCCTCGAGCTTCTTAGGCGGCTTGGGGTCGAGGAAGTCGAGGATACCGTTGAAACCAGGCGCCGTTATCGCGAGACTCTTTGTCGAGGTCATATCGTCCGAATCGCGGTGGGTGGATTTCTTGGGGTTACCCATTTTGTCGAAGAGGGCCAAGTTCTTCCACGTCAATCGTGCGCGCTTTGTCCGTGGTGGTTCAGCATCGTGTCGCTATCTAGTTGCCGTGGTTTTCGTGTCTGTGTACTCTGGGGGCTTGCTTTTCCTCTACGTGAGTGTGCGGCTCGTGCATGGTGACGATAAGCTACAGTGTGAGGGAGGATAGGTAGTGTTGGTTTTTATATCGAAGCACGGTCAAGAAACTAGGTCGCCTCATCCGTCCTTGTTGGGAGCACCTAAGTAGGTCATCAGGTTTATACATTACAAACATTACAGCGATGCCTTCTAAGGACCGATAATAGATCACCAACGGACTCCATTTTCCCAACTATGACCGGAATCAAACCAGTAGCCAAACCAGAATCCCCAAACCTCAAAGGTACATATTCATCCAGCCACCGCCGCAGTAGCAGTAAACATCATCCTGAACGAACTATATCCTTCTCAGCCTGGGTTCCAATCCCGGCTCTATCCTCATCCATCCCCATCCCTCTGGAGCCTCAATGTGAGGAAGACACCCAACGCCAAAATCAAAACCATAAAGACCGTAATAAACACATTCCCGCTCAACAACCCTTTTCTCTCCTCATCCCCCCCTTTTTTGGGGTGGGCCTTGCCTATTTTACTTTTCTTTTTTTTTTTTTTTTTTTCCTCGTTTTCTTCGCCATGCTCTGGCTCGTCAACTCCTCCTGGCTCGGCTCAGCGACGGCGGCATCCGCCAAGTTCTCGACCATGTCGTGCGTCTCCGCAGGCTCGTTAGACCCCTATTCCTGTGTGGCCTGGTCATGGTCCTTGAAAAGATCCTGCACGCTGCCGCGAGATGTCTTCTTTTTGAATCGTTGGCGCGGGATTCGCAGCGAACCGCCTGCGTCGGCGCGGTAGTTGAGTGGACGGGGGTCGTTCCTAATGGTTTTGTTGTCGGGCTGCTGGTCGACTGGTTGATTCTTGTTGGCGACCATTGTGTCGGCGCCCTTCTCCACGCTGGCATCGTGCTGCACCTCGGCGGTGCTGTCGGTCTTCATATCGCCGGCTGAACCCTTCTTGACCTCATCGGTTTTCGATTCAGCAGCCGCACCATTCCCATCCGCAACCGCGACCTTGCCACCCTTCTTCTTCCCCTTTGATTTTTTCTTCGCCGCGACCTTCCACCCAGCCGTCCCCTTCTCACCCGATGTACTCGCCACCCCGTCGGACAAATCCGCGACCTGATGCTCGCTAGGAGCGGCACAAACCTCCTAAGTCTGCCCGTCACCGTTCGCATGGTCGCGCCTTCGCCCCGCTCCGACACCAACTCCGCCGCCGCCGCCGCCCCACGTGGAACGGGGGGTGGCCCGAGTGGAAGGAGAAATCCATGGCAATACGCGCACGTTCTTTTGTCCTGGGCGCCGGCGGATCACCGTCCCGGAAAAGTCGGGCAGCAGCCGCACGTCGCCTTGGTCGCGGAGCCGGCCGTTCTCGCCTTTGTTGTATCGCAACCTAAGGTAGTCGGCCTCCTCGAGTTGCTGGAAAAATGATGGGTCCCATTCGTCGGACAACGTGGGGATGCGGTTGCCCTCAACCACCGGACGTGTAGCAGCGGGTGCCTGCGTGTGTCTCGTGGGTTCGATGGATCCCGAAGCACGGGAGTTCGAGGTACTGAGGTCGCTGGAAATCACACTCCGGACAGGGCTGTCAGGCCTGACGCCGTTATGGTCCGGGATGGTGGCAGACGGCTCCTGTGGCTCTGGGTCTGATGGCACGTCGCCGAAGGCAATCCCGGCGAACAGGGCTGTCGGACCTAACGCTGTTATGGTTCGGGATAATGACAGGCGGCCCCCGATTCTCGTCCCCATCTCGTGGCTTCTTTTTCTCGTCATTAGAGGGCACATTTCCGAAAGTTATCTGGCGAACAGGGCTGTCCTGACCGGTTGTGCGGCGGATGGGTGCGGGATCCGGGATGCGCACCCGGATGGCAGCAGTGAGGCCGGTGCTCGCAGCCGAGCTGTGGGAGGAATGGAACGAATGGTTTGAACTCGGGATGGTTGTCGTGAGGTCCTCGAAGGCTTCATTCTCCGAAGGCGGTTTTGTCTGGGAATATGCGTTTCCTCTTCGGTCCTCAAGCTGAGTTGAGACATCTGCCTCCGCATTATAATTCACAAACGGATACGGCATCGTGTATTGTTGCACGAATGGGTCTCCTTGCTGAAAGGGAGGGTATCCCTGGGGATAAAATCCGTCCCAAGCTCCATGGGCATGAAAAGCCGAGCCCGAGTAGTCCTCAAACTGCATCGTGCTCTGGCTTTGTGTGCTTCCCCGCCTTCCCGTGGGGAGATTTCCATCAACCCCAAGAGGCGGGTTCGCTTGAGCAGCCAGCTGGCGGCTCCTTTCTGTTTCCTGGGTAGAGTGCACCCTATACTGATAGTACCGAGAAAAGAAAGGATATGTCACCCTGGCGCGATGGAGTATTGGGTGGCTACGGGCCAGTTCAGCCGAAGCCCGGACGGCCCGGTGCGCGCTGTCGTCGGCGATAAAGCGACCCAAGGCGTAATAAGTGCCTTTGGCGGATCGCTGCACCCGACAATGCTCCACATGACCGTACTTGGAAAGAGCGTCGGTCACCGCAACCTGGGCGTCGTTGGATGAGGCACTGCCCAGGTCCATGGGTCCGACGTGGACGCTCCGGGACTTTTGGAGGCACCGCCCGCAAAGGCACGGCTCGAACCCTCTCTCCGGGGGTGCTCTGATGTATACACTTCTGTTCGAGCACTTTGGCGACGGGCGTAGGGTTTGGCCGCGCGGGGTCTTTTCGCCTTGGGTTTGCGAATGGCCCCGCGAGTTGGAGCCCGACGCGCCGTTGTTGCCGTGTTTTGGGGCTCGAAGAGAAGTGCTTGGGAGCCGCGAGGGTCCCACACCAGCGACGCGCGCAGTGAACGAATGCCCCACGGGGAGTGGCCGAGTTGGAGCCGAGGTGGAACGCAGACGATGGTTTGTCGATGATGTATCGGGATTGATATCACCATCTGGTCCAGTCAGTTCTATGGTTTAAATGAAAGGATGGAAGGCGAAAGGACAAAGGACGATTGAAAAAAGCAGATCTTGTTTTGCACGTACCGTCGTGTGCCCTGTTGGGCAATGGGTTCCGAGCGTCATCGGAATTGGCGGCCATTTCAATGGTCTGCACCAGGGCAAGGTGGTCCTGGGTCGCTTGAGTTTGGTAGTAATGGTACCAATACTCAAGGGTCCCGCGGAGAATGGCGAGAGCCGCCATGTCGTAGTCAGCGATGTTCTGAGTGTCGGCTGGCGGCAGGATGAGCAGAATGTCGGATTGCTGATCCCACGAATCGAGGCGACGACGGTTCTCCACAGCCGTCAGCCACTCGTAGCCCCAATTCTCGATTTCCTCGCGAGAGGCTTCGTCGAGGGGTGGCTGAGCGGCCGAGAGATCGTTCTTACCACAGGCGGGATTGGCCATCTTGGTTGAAATGGTCTTGCTGAGGATTGACGAAAAGTCGCTGTCAGTGGCAAATTCAATCCATCACGTACGATGGGCAACAGCAAGCGCAAAAGGATAGATTAGCTGTACTTACCCGGTCGAGAAAAAGAGAGCAAGCGCGAGGAAGCGAAGAAAGAAGAGGGCGCAGGGAGAACAAAAAGGCGATGGTGGTGGAAGGAAGAGGAGGCGAGGGGGTCACTCGGATGGCAGTGGGTTTTAAAGGCAAGAAACAGAGGCCAATGCTCAGTCTGATTACCAGTATACGGAGGAACATATGACGGATAACATTGGTACGGTTACGTGAATACGGAACAGCATCACTTGATCAAGCGCTTTAGGTTCACTCAGGAGGCCAATTGAAAGATCCTGGCAGGGCTGGCAGTCTAGCAGCAGACTGCTAAAGGCGGTTCACGGCTCTGTACTGTATCCGAACAAGTGACCTGACCCAGCGCCTTCGTTCTATTCACCCAGAACCTAGGTAGATCTGGCAGGAGACATATTCATATGGATCCACACTCTTCCGCTGCCGCAGCAACCGCAGCAACCACTTGCTGCCCCATGCCCTGCCTTCACCGAACAGAGGCAGCAGAGATAGCACGGCATTCCGCACAGTAGGGTAGGGACGGTAGAATGTTTTAATTCACGCGTAACTTCCGGTAATTGGTACAATGAGTAGAGACGCAGGCAACAGCGTAGAGCAAACGATCAACATTTTCCGCCAAAGAGACCCCTTAGTTACCAAATAGCAACAAGACAATTTGCCCCCCAAGCAAGAGAAAACAGCCATGAGGCTTGTTGCATACGGCTAACTCATTTGGTCAAATCGTTGAGCATCTTCAGAATCTCCGACTCATTCTCTCCAGCCGCCACTTTCCCATTGTTCCAGTCAACAGCCTGTACCAAGTAATTAGCCACGCCCATAACATGCCAACACACAATAAGTAATAAATCTAAACAACAACAAACTTCCAAGTCCAAGTCCAAGTCCACCAAAAAAAGAAAAAAAAAACAAAGGAAAAAAAAAAAAAGAGCAACAACATACCACCGGCCTCTGCAAGCTCTCGACATTCTCCGCAAACCGCCTCAGCGCCTCCTCCTGGTCGGACGCCCCCTTCACGATGGACCCGACCCTCGCCTTGCCGACATAGTCCAGGATGGTGCGGAGCTGGTCGGCGGTGGGCGGGGCCTCGGTGATGTCGAGCTTGAACTCGGGGCGGCGCACGGCGCGGGACTGCGCCGAGTGGTCGCTGGCCTGGTCCTCGGTGGCCGTCTCCGACGCCGCCGCCGACGCCTGCCGCAGGGCGGCCGCCACGCGGACCGAGACCGGGGAGCTGGCCTTGTGGAAGAGCGTGATTATGTCGAGGGGTTTGTGCTGGTGAGTGGATTAGTCATCGTGAGGGTGAGGGTGAAGGGGGGGTGGTAGGGTTGTTTTGGGGGGTTTGGGTTGATTGAGGGTTCTGGAATGGTGGGTCTTACAAATCGAAACATTTTGGGTGGTTATTTGACGTAGATTGTGATTTATGGCTTTGTGGTTTTGACGGGCTTTGGGGTTCTTGCTTGTTTTGCAGCAAACGGATGAAGCGATGTTGAATTGAATCGCATATTCAGTGGAGCACAACGGCCCGGATTGGAGGAGCTTGGGCCATGCGGCTCCACTTGCCGTCGTGGGTTTCAGCGTCACAGGAACTCCCTCCCTCCCTCGGTAATCCCTGAATAAGTGCTTCCCCGAATCATTCATTTCATCCAAAACTCAAGAAAAATCCCACCGACTCGTGTATCTATGACGTTCTCCAAGTGCACCTCCGCCAGGGCCACAAATCAAGTAGACCGGAGTTTTGGCAAGGCGATGAACATGTGGGCGTGTACCTAAGCAAGTCAACCGTCGTTTCTCCACAACTCGTGCTTGATCTGGGCTTGATCTGTGGTGGGGGGGATGACGTCGAGTTGGAGAACTATCATCCATCTCATCTACAAAAGCAAGCGGTGGTGCAGATTCACTGCTTCTCAAACCAGTCCAATTCATAACTCATTAATTCTCCTTGAAACCTTAAGCCATCGAAATATTCGCAATGCAGTCAAACGTCGGGAACCCCCAGGTGTATGAGGCTGGCGACCAGCGCAATGCCAAGGCCTCTGAAACGGGCTCAGGAACCCGCTATCATGAGGGTCCAGCCAACGCACACCTTCAAAATGACCCAAGTAGGTTTAGACCTCATCAATGCTAAGAATAAATAATAGCTAACAAGATACCAGAGGATCAGAGATCACTCTCCAACCGAGCAGCCGCTGAGGTGAGATGCTCCTTTGCAACCGGCTATGCTGGTCCAGCGAAGAGAAGACCCTTGCGCTGCGATGGCGGACTAACAATGAATGATGACGTCAAGGTATCCGACGAACAAAACGAAGAATCCCGGGAAACGTCACTACACAAGCAGGACCCAACACTTCCGGTAAGAGAAAATATGCCACACTTGTTAGACAGATTAGACGAAATAAAGGCATCTCAATTGCTGACTCCATGACCTCTGCGTGCAGGCCAAGGTGCACGGAAACGAGCCCTCAAGGGGTGCCAGGATCGACGCTGAATTGCAGGCGGAGGATGAGGCGGCCTTGAAGAAAAAGGGCGAGAACATGCCCGGGAAGAAAATGTAATGCCATCAATTAGGTCACGACGATGAAATAGACCTATCCCATGGTTGATTGGTTATTCATGGCTCGCTCACCGCTTTGCCATGATGAGCCGAAGAAAGGGAAATCGGCCGCCGGTGAGGAAATGGCAAAGGCTTGCGTCAGCCAACCATCCATTGTTTGTTTGGTTGGCGAGGTTGTTGGTCATCAAGGTGCTTCGGCCCCCAACCCCAAAACCGCATATTTCCGGGTTGCTCTTTACTGTGCCATAGAAAATACAAAGGAAACGAATTTCCCTAGTCTGTGTTATTTCCAATTCCGTTCTGACTTGCCAAATAAAACCTTTCAATCAATTGAGCAACGTGTGCCTTCTTTATCGAGCCAACTCAGCGCTGTTGTCAACGTCATCATCGCTAGCTAAACAAGCACCTATCAATTACCTCCCTTTACCTGACCTAATCACAACAACAAATATGACTTCGACCGATATCCCTCCACCCGCACCAGCCGTCGTCGAGAGTGCTACTCAAACAACGCATGAACCCGCCCACAACTTCGAATATACTCCCTTTGCATCCATTGCACCCTCACTCGCAGAAGAACCAACCATGTCTCCCCTCCGCAGCATCCTCACCGTCCACACCTCACTCCTCTTCGATCCTATTCAGAAATCATTTCTTGAGAATGTCTCGGTCGAGGTCAACACCGTGACTGGTGCCATTATCCGTCTCCATCACCGGAACACGCCGGATCTCACTAGCCCCTTGTCAAACCGTGACATCGACCTCCGCGGCAAAGTTGTGTTCCCCGGTTTCGTCGACTCGCACACCCACATCTTCCTCCACTCAGACAGGTAAACACTCGCCCCAGCCCTCACCTACCCCCCACTTTACCAACCCTCCCTCTCCCTCACCTCCCGCACCGCTGGCGACTAAACCCCAACTAACCTCTCCTCCCCTCCCGAACAGCGACCGCTACCACTCCCTAACAAATGCGCCACGAGTCCGCCGTCGAGCGGATCGTGTGCGCCTACTACTACGCCCCGCGCGGCCCTCATGGCCGGCTACACGACGTACCGCGACCTGGGCACGGAAGCCCTCGGCAACGCCGACGCCAACTTCCGCGACTGTGTCAACCGCGGCCTGACGCCCGGCCCGCGCCTCTTCGTCGCCACCGAGGCCCTCGCCAGCTCCGGCGGCTACGAGATCCGCACTGAGAGCAAGCTCGCGCATGGCGGGCCGTTGGGGCTGAGCCTGCCGCGCGCGGCCGATCTCGTGGATGGGGTGTGGGGGGTGAGGGGGGGCGTGAGGAGGCGGGTCGGGGAGGGGGCCGATGTGCTCAAGTTTTATGCGGATTATCGGAGGCGGGTCATGCGCTTCCCGCCCGATGTGCGCGGGCCAGGGGGCACGGTGCTGTTCCCGCCCGATCGGAGGGAAAGGAACCCCGCGGTGGTGCTGTTTTCGCAGGAGGAGATGGATGCGATTGTCGTGGAGGCCAAGTTGGCGGATATCCCCGTCGCGGCGCACGCTGCGGAGACGAGTACTGCGCTGATGGCCGCGAGGGCGGGCGTCACGACGGTGGAGCATGTGTTTGCTGATCGGGATGGGTGTATGGAGGCCATGGTGGAGGCCATGGTTAGCAAGGGGACGATTTGGGTGCCTACGCTCGCGACGGCCGAGGAGGGGTTTGAGGAGGAGAAGTACAACAGGTGCAAAGCCGCCGTCAAGGCGGCGTTTGAGAAGGGCGTGAGGGTCGCCACGGGCGGTGACACTGGGGTTTTTAACCATGGCCTGAACTGCAGGGAGATGGAGATCATGATCGAGGCGGGCATTCCGCTCGAGGATGTCCTGGTGGCGGCCACGCATACCGGGTGGCATGCCTGCGGCGGCGACGCCTCGGGGTTCCGGTTCGGGTGGTGGGACGAGGGCAACCGAGCCGACATCGTCGCCCTGGACACCGACCCGCGGAAGGATGCCAAGGCGTTTCGGAAGGTCAACTTCGTCATGAAGGACGCCCGGGTGTGGAAGCGGGATGGCCAGCCCGTGGATATGGTGCCTGCCTCTGCCTGGCAGGAGGAGGCTGCGCTGTCGATCGATGAAGAGAGCGCGCGGTGCAAGCAGCAGACGGTGAAGGTCTCGAACCACGTGGCGCTGAGCATCCGCGGCTCGGGGAACCCGACTCCGGCTGCGTCTGATGTGGGCTGGGAAACTGACTCCTTCGACGTCAAGCTTGCTTGAAGAATCCCATTCTCGGGCTACTGGGTCATCTTTACCAGTAACCTCAGCGACGGAAGGTTGCATAAAATGGTGCTGGCAAACCTAAACCGCCCGTCCACCGGTTCGGATATCCTAGAGTCTTTATATTTGGGGCTAGAGTTAGAGAATCGTTTCCTCATCTTGGTTTACAACATATACGCACGGAATTGCAGATGCACCCAGAGCTACAGCTTACACTCATGATTGCAGCGCCACTTAGGATTGTACCGGCACCCAAATTGTAGGCTCGGCTTAATCGCATGTTTGCCCCTCCTTTATTTCATGAAAGCGCCCTGCATTGGGACTTTGGAGAACCGATCTGTGTTCTGTGTTCTGTGTTCTCGCTGTGCCCGATGAAGTCTCACGGGACGACGTTCCACAACCACAATCTCTTACCTTGGGAGTGGGATTTGGGAAAGCGTCACATCAGAACCTCGGTATGGACTAGTAGGACGACAAAGGACGACAGTACTCGAACAAGTCTCACGGTAACGTTTAGTCCGTGACCGATATAGACTTCCGCGGATCTTGAGATATCACTCGGCCTGCTATTTTGCGCAAGAAACGGTGCCCGTGGGGAACTAGAGAGGGCCCTCGGGTAGTTCATTGATGTTCCGTTCTTCAAATAACAGCGTCGAGTAGGGGCGGCTGCTGTTCTTTGTTCCGGGCGGGCCGTGTTGCTAAAGTAAGCAAACCCATTGATAGTCAGGGGTTAGTCAAACAAACCTCAACCCGTCCCACGGCACGTAGTTGAGTGTTTCGCAAGGCAAAACTTCCAGGGTACAATACCAAGAAACGAATTATTCTGAAACGGCATCTACGCTACCAAGCACGCAAAGTCCGCCATGTGAGCATGCCGCCTTGCCATCAAACCTCAACCACGCGACACGGGACTAGTTACACCATTAGCCTTTGTACCAGCAACCCGTCCCGGTGATCAATTTCCAAAGTACTAAACCGCCACCATGTCCCAACCAATCCTCCCACCCTCCCAAGTTTCTGTCTCTTCTTTCCTCCCCTTCCCAACTCCCATCCCACCATCACCACCACCAACATGAGACTCCTCCCCACCCTCCTCGCAGCGGTCTTCACCACAAGAGGGACCACCGCCCTACCCCAGCCCTCCCCTGATAATTGCCGCCCTGGTAATTGCCTCGGACCTGTTGGTTACCACCGCGGCCGCCGCCGTTGCCGCCGTTGTTGCCGCCGCCACGGCTGTTGTTGTCGCCCTTGCTGGGGCATCTGGACGAGATGTGACCGTGTTGGCCGCATC